GATATTCTTTGTCATTGATAATCAAAATAATATAAGATACTTACTATAATTAAAAATAATAATCAGTAAAATAAATAACAAATAGAGATTTAATTATTAATATTGCATTGTTTACCAACCGTACTACGTAACAACTGATCTTCCAATAGTGTGACAGACTCTAAAGCATCAATGCCATGCATTCGTTCAAGAAGTTGCTTTCCCTATGATCAAAAAATTCGTAGAAATGAGATAGAAGGTAGATAAAGACTGAGAATTAAATTGAAATAAGTGATTCATACATCTGGAATTTGGGTCAAGAGTAATTCCACGTAGCTCAATCCCAGGCGAATTAAGTCAACATCTTGAGAACGAATAAATTCTAAAAATCCTGTATAATCACAAAATAAGGAATGAGCGATAGTGTTCATAAATCAATAAACCGATTGGTCGATTCAAACAGACTCGGAGATTTTAATGGTAGCCATACGATGAACCAATTGATCTTTACCTGGTATGAGTTCCTGATGAGACAATGACTTCATGTATTCTTCACCGTGTGAGGCAATGTTGAGTAGACTATAGGCTGCCTGAAATCACGTAAAATTGTGTTAATTGACAAGAAATTTGCATATTAAAGCAAAAGCAAAATAAAATTAACCTCTTTACGAATATCAAAGTTAGTATGAGTTGCAATGGTCGAAAGAATTGGAATAAATCCCGCATCAAATACTTTGATCAATACACCCGAAAGACGACTTCATAAAAATCACAAAGTCATAAAATGTGAAAGTTAACATTTCAGATAAACAAAATATTTTAGCTTTCAGGCCACTTACGCTGCCGTTATATTGGACATCACCCATAAACTTTCTTTTTTTACAGGCCTAAAAGAATTTTCAAATTCAAAGAATTGTTAAATTATGATGATTAAGCTCTATCACGTAAAAAATAAATAGCAAATACCTGCAATCGCTTTGAACATATTCAATCATACAAGGCAAGAAATCCGGTTGATTAATTATTATGTCTGTATTATCATCTGGACCACCGGCAATATTTCCAAAAGTACGGATCAAAGGCAATGCCAATGGACCACGATTTAATAAAGGGCGCATATGTTTAACCTATAAACAAAGAGGGTTAAGATGTTTTCAAGATATCGAATAATGTCATACAGTCTTACCAGAAGCGGTGCCAATCCTTCTTTTAACAAATCTTGACTATATTTGTCGTTATCACAACTCGTCAAATAGGTTAACACCCAAGAAATTTCAGAGACGACTTCACTCATCTATTGATCAAAAAATTGTGATCCACTAGGAAGGAGCAAGTTTTTTTTTTTGAAAAAAGGAAAATTCATCATACCTCTTCGGTTTTAAGGTGACGCATGAGATGCTGAGTTATACCAGCAGAGAAAAATTCTTCAAGTTTAGCGTTTGGACCGCGCGCGAGATTTGATAGAGCGAAACATGCCGTTTGAACAAGATTTATATCCTATTCAGAAGACCCTTAATAACTATATGAACTTAATAAATATCAGAAGTAATATTGATCAACCAATGGTTACCTGCGAGTTGAGTAACTTGATCAAGGGAAATAATACACCGTTTGCACGAAGTAAATCTCGACACTCTGAACCTTCCACCGCAATATTTCCAATTGTCCAAGCTGCCTGATCCTGCAAATGCTTTATAATAGGTATTTGGTCAATTTATTTCGTTCAATTTTCGTTCGTCTAATAAAATGCTAACTTACAATGTTCTCTCCATCAAGGAAAGAGATTAAATATGGAACTGTGGCAAGGGCTTTTTGACAGAGTTCCTTGGATCCTGCAGCGATGTCTTATCCGAAGACATAAATTTATGAATATATAAATTACGATTAACAATCAGATGGAGATACATACTTGTTATGCACCAAGTCGCCTGTAATTGTTCATCTGGGTCTATGCCAGATATAAATTTCTATAATGATTTGATTTAGATGTTAGAATGACACTGCGTGTACAAGAAACGGAGCGAAGCATCGAATTTACACGTACCGTTAAAATGTCAATGCAATTTCCCTCAATTATGAAACTTCTCAAAGTTTCGGGAGGATCCACAAGATAAGTGCTCAGATTTTTGAGGCTCGAAAGACGTAAATCGCGACTTGAACTCTAAAAGTTTACAAGGTTATGCACGTCATTACTCGAGGAAACAAGATTATTTTAAGAATTACTAACATTTAAGCCCGATTTCAGCTTTTCTATGTCTTGTTGTGATAAATCGAATTCGGATTCTGTAAAATTCCATCGTAAAAAGCGAATTAACTGCAAGAGCAAGAATCTTATTATAAAATTTCGAGAATCTTAAATACCGGCATCATCCTCTTTGAAATCATCCAGGTGATGTTTAAACCTTTTAGCAGTTATAAGCTGCTCTCGATGTTTTCTTCGAACTTGTGCGTCGAGTTCAATACGTTTTTGCCTGGCCTCCTCGGGGCTTTTGGAAATGCTGTTTCTTTTGTATTTTGCTTTATGGATGGCAATGGGGGGAGGGGGTGTTTTTTGAGCTGGCGGGCTAGAAGATTGAAAAGTGAATATGTCTCCTTTTTCGTTGTTTGTGAAATTCATCAAAGTAAAATTATAGGTTTAGATTCTCACGATTTCATTATCCAGATTCGACGTCTTAAAATATATCGGATCGGCAGTAAATTTTTCGTGCAGTTTCTAATTCTTTTAATTATAATAAACTTTTTTTTCAATTATTTCACAGGTGTTTAATGAAAATTCAAATTATAATTTTATGTTATATTATCTTTACGAGAAATATACAGTACAGCAACTTAATTAACACGAACCTATATACAGTAAATCCTTTTATTTAAAGACCTTTATGTATTTAGAAATGTTAAAAAGAGAATTATTTACCTGATTTGCAATTACAAAAAAATTCTTAACATTAATATTTTAAATTTAAATAATTCGTTTTATTATGTTGTGTAGTGTGAATAAATAAAGAGCAATATTTATTTTGAATTAAATAATCATCATAATCATCGTGAGTTATATCATTACATATAAATAGAATACTTTTAATGGCGTACGTATATTTGTTTATATTTAGCTCGATGATTTTAAAATATATTTATCGTGTATTAAATTATTATACACATAAATATTATTTAAAAATTTATCCAAGCAACTCGTTTAAACCTCATGTGTTTGTTATACATACGTAATTACGTACGTAAGTCTTCCGGAAATAAGCAATACAGTCAAACCGACCGACGGTTACATAATTTGAAAACCGATTTTTTTATACTGTTTACAATAGGATCACCATCACAGTGTAACGACCCGGTTGTCAAGTATACGCGTAGAGTAAAGAAGACGAGAAGTTTGGTATTTAGTAGATAGTTGTTAAAAAAAAAAGCAATGTGCTCAACTTCATTCCTCGATCAAATGTTGACGGTTCGACCAGAGAAACGGACTACTAATCTTTTAGAAAATATGTTCGAGTGACACTATCCGCAATCAATCAATCCATGATTGATTCGAATCACATGAAAAAGTTGCTGGAATGTTCGGGAAATGTGGCGATGGTCCGAGACTCCCCGACTTGGCTAAATAAATCGGGGACTTAGTTTAAATCTTATTGATACACAAAGCATGAAAGCTTATTAGATGATGCGAAATCGAACTTGCTGGAAAGAAATGTAATCAACAATTCTTTTGTATAAAGGACGAGCGTTTTATCAACATCCCATCCCCCCATTGCCATCCATAAAGCAAAATACAAAAGAAACAGCATTTCCAAAAGCCCCGAGGAGGCCA